GGCCCCTTTGTAAACCGTTTCATCTCGCTCGCACCACTTGTGTTTGCTGCCTAATCAGGTGACGTTATCGGCGCTATTTTTAGCAGGGCTTTCCCAAACAATTCAAGTGGTCAAACTGGACATTTGGAACGGACTATGAATATGGGGATAGCGAGGTAACATAAGTGGAAGTGCATACAATACATACATTCATTAAAAAAAAAACGCCTTTTCACGTGATGTCCCTTTAATAGCTATGTGAAGGCTAGTTCACACAGATGCAGTAATATAAGATAACGTTCTATATCTTCACTTTACAACATGGTAATTAATATGTATATATTTTTTCTTTGGTTTTTTTATGCGTATTATAAAAAAAAACTCTTGTAAAGAAGGCTTAGATTTTCAAAAATAAACGCTGAGCCATTTCATCATCGTACTTTTTTTTGTTCTTTAATCCTTTTTTTTCTCCTCTCGTTTTTATTGTTAATATTAACCATTCATTGTGCATATTTTTGTTCACATTTTTAACTGTTACAAATAGGTAAAAGTACTGTACCAGCTACTCATTTCATTCGCTTTCCTATTTACAATGTAGTATTACTTATATGATTTCTATCATTTCTCTTTTTTAACCATCTAGCGTAAGTCTGTACATACTAAGTAATATTTACATTTCCATTGCACAGAACCTAGATGTTTCCACTGGGCCCTATGTATGTTATTTCCGTATAATTTAATTTTGCCTGTCTCCCCCATAATATTTGTTTTGGTATATATCGTGTATACCTAAAAAAAATCTGATGACGGAACTACTTTTTACACTTCAGAATGCAAAATTACAACGCAGCTTTTTTTAGCGTAATTGTTTAGTTTACGTAAAAATTAAATAAATCTTTAACTGTGCAATTACAACGTGTTTGTCTACTTTTTTTAAATTAAATTATAAAGAATACCCAAGATTTGTTTTGGTATATACGGTATATACCAAAACAAAATCTTGGTCATTCCTTAAATAACATACATTGGACCATTGTGGCGTGGCTACGCTTATGACGTCATAACTGTAACGTTGGAGATTGCACTGCTCCACTGTCAACTGGTGACTGTTCTCTGTATGGATTTACCCTGACGTTGAAACATGTTCAGACTAATATTATGTCTTTATTTCTGCGTGAGCTGTAAGTTGATTAACATAAAGTGTAAATATAAGTATTGGTTGTCATATTTTTGACATGCATTGGGTGTGTAACATACATTGGCTTACCTACATATTTAATATGGTGCGCGCTATGTAGGTAAGCCAATGTATGTTACACACCCATGCATGTCAAAAATGTGACAACCATCCTTAAATACATATTAAACTCTCTTTACTCCTACTTTCTTCGCTTATTCTTTTTTTCTGGTTAAGTGCAGGTGCTGTGTTAGTGCTTTGAAAGTACATCTTAAAAAATTCATATAGCTGAAAAAATAGTTATTGAACAATGTGTGTGTTAACGGAAAATTTTTTTATATGAGGTTTAAAAAAAAATGTCGAGAGAAAAGTCTGTGGGATTTATACATTGACAGTTAAACTTTATTATCTATCCACTGTCCGGTTATTCCGAGGTCAGTATTTGACCACAGGCTATTTCACTGTTGTGCGTTTTAGTTTGTGTATATAGAGCATAGCTAAAGGTTTCCGGACTAATATCATTCTGGGCCGGTGTGGGTGTAACTATTGCAGTTTTCAGCCTCACAACTAAAATATAAACAATACACGAGGGTTAGCTATTAAATAATATATTTAGTACAACCTTTTAACTTCAAAATGAAGAGGACGAGACCTAAAACAAACCGCGGGGATGTCTCAAACAACATAATATCTTTTCATTGTTAAACGGGGCTTTTAAGATCATGATAAACTTATCTGCAACAGCCTACTCTAACCAAACCTTGATATATCTTAAGAAATACAATATTTAGACTTGATTCAAATTCTAACAAATTACCGGATTCATGATGCAACGTCTATTGTCTGAACTCTGCCATATCCACTGCTAATAAAACACAGTGTTCAGCATGCGTAACAAAGAGTTTTGTTGACAATTACACCATCGTTGTTTATTTTTTAACTTTCACCTCTTCTGACCTTCTGGTGTTACTACAAACCACAATGTCATTTCAGCAGCTTGCCAAATTATAAAACAAAACAAAACTCTTCTGCCAGGGGGAAAAAATGGATCTTTCCCTGTTGATTTGTTTTCTAAAATATCTTATTTATACAACAGGAGGTACATCCAGAGCATAATGATACATTTACATCTTCCTGTGACTTAACACATCCGGCTGACTAAAAAGGAGTATTGCACTATAAATGGATTTGTAATAGGTTCTGAAAACTGCACGACCTGAACTGACCTGTTCTACCAACGGTTTGTTCTCCTTTCTCCCACTTTTTTCTGATCAAAGGAATTATATAAACACTGGAAAACAATAGAGGTGTCATTATAGTCTGTTCTGGTATAGTACAGGTAGATTATTTACCTGTATTTACCAGTTCACCAATAGGAAATACTGTGTTAGAGACAGGAATATTTAACAAATATTTTTCCTGATTTTCGTAATATTTACTGGAATTATGAATAAATATTTTTACAATATTCCAGCGATACACCGTATAAATATGTGAACTCAGTGTTTTATTTGTGTGTCGCCTAGATGTATCACGTAGTCCTTTTGAGAAACGGGAAGCATACGATATAGCGACATCTGATACGTCCGAGGCGTGTAGCCCGACGCCATATTGGGGTGTAGCTACAAAATGACGCAATCATATTGCGGTTCGGTTCGTATTTAAAATCAAGCCTTTATTTTGTAGAAACTGTGTTGTTTACCAATCCTGTATGAGTCAATAGACAAACTGGAACTCGAAACAACCTTACACGGCCCTACCAGATCAAACTCACTTGTTAACCCAACTTGAAACGCTTAGCATTTTACCTCAAGTCTAGTTAGTTTTATATAAACCAACCTACTGGCCAGGAGGTGTCACCTAGCGCGTCATATAACACAGGGGTTTTCCTAGTATTCCCTGTATCACAATTCTATCTTAATCAGCCACACGAAGAGGCCGATATCACGGTTTCATATATACGAGCAGGAGTACATTGAAAAACATTGCCACTTTCATTTTTAAAGCGAATGAGATACGGAACAATAATTAATTTAATCAAGAGTAACGTCCGCCCTGATGTCGAGAAACATGCATTTAAGTATGGAAAGTCACTGTTTTACTTTATTATATATTTATGTAAATTTAAAGCATCGTACCACTATATATTTCCTTGTATATGCAATGTGTTTATGGCACAAAGACATTTGTGTCTATTGCTGGATAAAAAATACTATAGGAACAGTTCGGAAACGTCGACAATTTCCGTAAGCGGGAAAAATGCTACCGGAAAGTGCCGACGGTACCCGAATGATTTGTCGATCAGTACTTAATCGCCCGTTTCGTGTATGATAATATCCTCTTCCTATCTTTATAATTTCAATTTCAATCCAATTTTCTTGCATTTCTGAACGAAACCATAGCTACGTTTAGTTTGATTTGTACGTAAACGATAGTGGGGCGGTTCCGCGGATTCATATAACGAGAGAGTGGTAACGCCTGTTTTTTGTTCGCCGAGTTTAAACTTAGTATTCGACTTTGTTCCCTGTTGCCCATCCTTCGTTACGTACCGATAGTTTGCAACGAGTATTGTACGTGGGTTTATTAAGCGTGAGGCACAAACACCTCACTTAGAAATGTGACAGACGGGTTTGCTTGACGCCTCTTATAGCTGAAACGACTCACTCTCGTACCAGGAATATTATCAACGCCGCCTGTTGAGAACTATCATCCCGGTTGTCCTACAATACGAAATCCCATGTACCCTGTCAGCAGGCAAAGCCTCCAAGTCTTGTTAGAGAAAATGGTGAGGCCGTGCGCGTCCCTACCCCCACCACTCCGGGAAAACCGTCCAAGAAATAATATTAAAAAGAAACTGCTCATTTATCTTCTCAAAGTGATCAGGCTATCCCGTTGTTCAACTAGAGGACAAGATATAGTTTATTACCATTATAAATTAACCCATCAGTGTTGATTGAAATCAATGTTACAAACTAAAGTCAGGAACGTCTCGGGCCTTTCCGTCAAATACTTTCCTGATATTATTTATTTTTACAAATGGCGGAAATATCCGAGGAGTGTCTGATTGCGAGGTAACGTTCCACAAACAATGCTCTCAAAACACCCCATGCACTTTATTTTTATTTTTTATTTAATAAATTTTGGTTACTGTCTACTTAAAATTCATTAAAAATACGTAACTATTGCAATCAGATAATGATGATGATGACAACGAGGAGGAGGAGGAGGAGGAGGAGGAGGAGGAGGAGGAAAAGGAGGGGAAAAGAAAGGGGGATGACGAGGACGACGACATCGACGAGGTGAGGATGAAAAGGACCATTACTATGCATTATCATCAAAGTGAAGTCGACAAATGGGAATGATATCGAGTAATTGTGATGAATGAGTCGACCTGTCGGGATCAATAAGTCAAATTATTATGATCACCATAATAAGCATGAATTATGCCGATAGTTATCTCGACGTTGACATCAAAATAAATTATTTCCTAATTTATTTTATGTCGCCTTAGAAACAAGTCAACTGTCATATAACGACTTACATATCCTGATAACTTGAGTTGACTATCATCTCCATCATGAATAGCAGGGATGTACTATACCACCACAATAAACTGATATACACACATACGCTATATCACGAAGTAAGTACACATGGGTACAGTTGTAATTGACACCGATACGATTATTCCACATATGAAGCCTTAAATCCCTCTCCTGTCTGGTATTGTAGAATAATAATGTACATGTACATTCAAGCGCTGGAACTATACAGTCACATGAAGCAGTCATAAGGAAGTTTTTTAAACAAGAAATACTAGAACATAGAACGTGTGTAAAGTCCTCTGTCGCCGGTAAGTGAGTCCCCTTTGTCTGGGGTGACCGTCCACCCGTGAAGGGTGAATGTTGTCCTTGGGATGAGCCTATTTATACTTAGTGTATCGCCTTTCTATCAAGGCTGCCGTTCTATACCATGCATGCGTAGGCTGCAATTTAAACCGGAGAGCCTGTTTACACATTTTAACGTGTTCATACGACCAAGAAATAAACCCAACTTTGATTGTTTTTGATTTGGATCTTGTCCATGAAATTTGCCCAGTATGGACATGTACTATTGATTAAATGCTAAAAGTCAATAAAACGTGCAGAAATTACGGAATAATGTGCATTTCATAAAATGTCTCATACCAGTGTTCAATCTGCGACTAGCGCCGGGGAGCCAAAGCGGAGCATATATATTCCTTTCAAACAGGTAAGTGAAAATGGCACTCGACAAAAGTTTGTTTATTTCACTTATATTGAAAACAATTCACATATAGTTTAAGTAAATAATTATAATTGTTAACATTTATATAAAAAATAATACTAATTCAAATATAGAAGGTGAAAATAAAATTGTATCATGCTTTGAAAAGAGAGCAGTATGTCGCTATACATCGGGCCTAGCCGTGTATCTCAGGGGTGGGACGCATCCGTACTCTATTGAGAAGAGAGTAGACATATTTTTTCTTATTATATTTTTTGACAAAACCACATTGATTTGTTCTGCTTTCAAAGGAGAAATCTTTGCATATTATGTTATTGTTGTGCTGGGAAACATTCCAGATGAACATTTTGAAGCAGTAGTATTGCAATAGAATTGATAATGAAACAAAATTTGTTTCGCCCAAGAAAAGGTTGGCAAATTTAAATAATTATTTAGTTTCAGTTTGAAACCCATCCGTATACTTATCTATACCTTAGTTTCATCTTGAAAGTCTATTATTTCATAAAATATAGTTACCAACATTGATTAATATTTAAACAAGTCATGTTACGTCAGAGTTGGTCAAAGTCTTAGCTCAACGACAAACAAAATGTTTGTGTGTCTGTATTCGTAAATAAGTTTCATTTTGAAAGTCTACGATGTAATCAAATGAAACGTTGACTATTGTTTAAACAAGTCGCGTTATGTCATGGTTGGTTTGAGTCTGAGCTCGACGGCAAACATAATCGTTTGTGTGTCTGTATACTTCTAATAAACATTTTAATGTTTCAAGTGGACTGACCAGTCGCATACATTTACACTGCTGCCAGAAACGAAAACTTTACTAAATGGAGTTTGCCTGGCAAATATTTGTTTTTTTCATGGTCCGAAGATCACGTGTGATTAATTGGTCACCGCTCGGCGTATACCCACTTACCTGTTTATCGGACTGCCGTGTATTAAAACGATGGGTTGTTCGCTCAACATGTTTGACCACAATAGACAACAGACAGAACTCCCTCCAATTGAATCATCAGATGACCAGTCGGACCTTGCTGTTCAATAGATACACAGTGTGACCCTCGAGTTCACATATAAAATAAACTCCTCAAGGATTTAAGTTCAAAAGGGGAAACATTACAGTATTTACTCGCTACCGTGTATCGTCTGTTTCATATAACACATACATACCTTTACACTACCAAAGGTTTAGCAAATTTGAATTTTAACGGTTTCAAACATTTTTGATGTTTAACGTTCAAACTGTTGAGGTATTCTCACAAAACGTCTGTTTTTAAGCTTAATCAGAATGACAATTGTGGTTCCGTTGGCGTTGGTGTTTTGGTGTTATTTTTTTTTTGCATCTTTGGCGTTGCTGTATATAGAAAAAAAACTTGCTGATATTGGGAGTTGGTCCGGTGTTGTTTTAGCTCTGGCATTGTTGCATTCATGTCATATTTTGTGTTGTTAGTAATTGGTGTTTATGGTTTTGTGTTTATTGTTTTGGCGTCGTTGGCGTTGCTGCTGACAATTTGTGTGTTATCAATTATTTAGAATCGTTTTTGTGTTGAACGTTTTCAGTGTTAATCGTAAGCAATGTTTTTGATGGGTTTTTTTTCCAGTGTTATTGCTAACCTTTATTTGACGTTGTCGTTTTTTGTTTGGTTTAGTGGTGTTTTGATGCTGTCGTGATTTTAGCGTTTTCGTTGTTGTTGTTGCCGTTTTCGTTGTTGTCGCGACTGCTACCGTTGTTTTCGTTGTCCTCGTCGTTGCTTGATGTCCTACAGTCGTTGTTTTGGTCACCGTTGTTTCTCGATGTCCTTACCGGCTTTTTGTCTTTGTTGTAGTCGCCGTTAATTAGATTTCGTTGTAACTGTTTCTGTCGTTGTCCTAATTGTTGCTCGATATCCTTACCGTCTGATTGTCGCTGTTTATTAGATTTCTTTGTTTCAATTTGTTGTCGCTATCCTCGTTGTTGCCCGATGTCATTACCGTCGTCGTTGTTGATGCCGATGATTCTATTTCGTTGTGATTGTTGTGATTGTTGTGATTGTTGTGATTGTTGTGATCGTTGTGATTGTTGTGATTGTTGTGATTGTTGTGATCGTTGTGATTGTTGTTTGTGATTGTTGTGATTGTTGTGATTCGTTGTTGTTTGATGTCCTGACAATCGTTGTTGTTGTTGTTATCTTGAACACTCCTGTTTACCGTCAACTTCACAACAGAGACCTCAAGTCGACTAAAGGAGTATCAATATCAACCACGGCACAAACAAACAAAACTAATTTATCTTTTTCTAATAATTTATTAAAACATTTTTAATGACATTTCAAACCCGATTAACCATGACAAAAGTAAAGGGTACCACCGTGTAAAGTAAATGATTACTATTGTTTTCATTACGTGTTTGAGTGTAAACACTTATTCTAAACTAATAAGGTACAAAAAATCTCGTTATTAACAACTTTTTGTACATAGTTGTTAGTAACGTAATAATAATAATAATAATAATTCGAGGTTCTGATGTACTGCTTTATCACAACCTAGTTCGAAGGTCGTCTCAATGCGGTTCACAAATTATTATCCGTGGTTATAGGGCCTTTACAACCAGCCAATACCTTTCTCAACTCCCTGAGGAGCATACAGCCAGTGCTGCCATTTCGTCGCTAACAGCTAGCATTCGACAGTTCTAGCACTGCCCAACCACGTACTCTTTTACATCTGAGTAGACTGGAACAGGCGGAGCAAAGTATCTTGCTCAAAGATACCACATAGTGCTGTGTCGTGACTCGAACCCGCAACCCTTCGGTCACGAGCCCGGCGTCCTACCACTAGACTACCGTGCCTCCAAATACGTAATACACACACAATAATTAGGTTAAAAGAGCTGCGTGCCCCCTCCCCATCTCACCACTACTTGTATCCCGTTACATCAGGTGTGCTATTACAACTCCTGATAAAGAGTTAAAGAATGTGAGATTCAGCCACGACAAGTGTTGTTTCAATGTGAAACTTGTATCGCGGTCGAGCTCAGAAACAATTTTATTTCTGGATTTTGTGGAGAATCCATTGTCTAATAACTATATCTTGACAAAGTGACACTACTTGTTGGAATGATTACGGAAGATAAAAAGCATTATTATATATACAAGTTGCTTGCAATATTTTGTTAAGCTAAACATTTTCAACAAATAATGGGTTGTTAGTGCAATGCTGATAACGCATATTGCAATTTCTAAGACATGATGACTTTACATATGGTTCACAATAAAGCACAGGTCATAACCTTGTAGCCCGGACATGACGCGGTCGAACCCCTGGTACGGACAAAATGTTTGACCTTTGACTTTCTTCTGTTATATTCATCTTGGGCATGACGCTTATGAATTTGCAACTAATTATGTATTTTCTCATACTATGATTTTTCATACTGTTTGGTTTTGTCTGAACAAGATACGACATCCACTAGTACTCTCTGACTAGGGACACAAACCGTAAAATAAAACCCGACACGACATGTGTTATGGCAAATTATTATTAACATAGGAATTGCGTCTTTCACGACCAAGACGCACAAAGAGCGCTAGCTGTTCACCTGGTTGCTATTTACATATGAATCGAAAGCCTTGCCCCATAAAAGTTGACAGGGACCAAATTTTAACATATCGGAACAAACGCACATAGATAATGTTTTTATCATAAACCAAATAATCAACGAAAACTTTAAATAAAAAAAATAGTGTTTACATCATATCTGTGGTCCCTTGTAGGACACCCGAGACCTGAGTATGAATTTATACACACAAGCCATTGAAAATAAGGAAAGTTCATTTGAGCGTTATTGCCATAATTAATGTCGATGAACGTTAATGCTTTTGAATATAATCTTTATTTATTTTACAACTTATAAAAATCACTCTTGTTGGACCGGATTGTAGCACGTAGGGTCTTTATGTGAAGAGGGAAATGGAATACCCGGAAAAACCCCACGTAGTCTAGTAGGTGACCCTATACTTTTTCACGTCTGATCGGGGAATCGAACCCCTGTCGCCTTTATGAGGTCCATTTACTGTATGGTTTAACTATTTAGATTTGAATAAAACTATTAGTCTGCTCAAGACTGAATACTGAGGCCCATACTGATGTTTTGTTGTAAATATCGAATTTGGCGGGGTAATTATGTGAATAATTCGGGAAATACTAGTAAACGGACAGGCGACGGCCGAAATGCGATTGATAAAGCTGAACTGACTCTTTGGTCATCAAGGCTCGCTAAAAATAGGGCCCAAACGCCTTTTAACGATGCACAAGCCAAACGTGTTCACAATTGCTATAGTCCGAATTATTCTGACGTTTTATCGACTTTTTTCATATCGGTCTGTCGTCGATTAACGTCAGAACTCCGGCCCTCTATAGTATTGCGGGAAATATGCGACCCGCGCCCGGAGCGCACTTCAAACTTATATTTTAGAAACAAATCGTCTCTTTCACATACATGTCGCACATGGATCGAAAGATCTATTCTTTATGCACAAGATGAACATAAATTACATGCCTCAAACAACCAATACAATCACTAAAACTTTACGATTTCTTGCCTTATCTGCACATAACACGTCGTCGTAATACCAAACCTAACTGCAATAAAAAAAAAACGACAAACACCTCTTAAAACGATTGATATTTAAACATGCAATATAATATACCTCGATTGACAGAGATTGTATCTCTGGTTAATTTTACTAACCTCACATGTTTCATACATCATTGATCATAGCAAAATGTACATGTTAAGTTATGCAGAACTTCAACGAACGCTTCAACCACTTTGCAATCAAAAGCAACATACCTCTCTGAGATCATTCGTTTCAGATATTAAAGCTTCAGACACATTTGGGGGAGATGGGAATAAAATAATCATAATATTTTTACTTAGTAATATTAAGACGGACAATATACATTTTAGGATCCTAAGGGATCAGAGAAAAGAAAGGCTAGGATAAATAGTAGTTATATTGCAATAGGACTGGATGAGAAAACTGAAAAACATCTTTCAGCTGATGTTGCTTGACATATGGGTGTTAATGGCCCCAATTGTTCAAGGCAATGTCAGAATAACCAGGTATAATGACAACTATTCACAATGCGATTTTCGAAACATATTTTAAACTTTACAAATATTTGTTAATGCTTCTTGTCTTCAGAGGATCAATCTAAATTCTCGTAGAGTACCTTCAGTTTTTAATTTTAATATTTTGAAAACATCTTATACTTAAAGTTTTGTGTAAATTATTATTAACCTAACCATGCATTAAGCAATTGTGTACTGTCCCTTGTGTCTAATCATAACGCGCCCTATATTGATCCATTTGTTGCATGCCTGATCAACTTAACGTCAACTTAATGACGAAAGATATATCTAAATTGTCTTCAAACTTATCAAGAATTGAAATCTAAAATAGTATATATTAGGAATGAAAATGATTATGTAAAGACAAAAAAATCACATTTTTTTTTAGTAAATTCCGGATAGTTTTCAAAAATTGCATTTTGAAAATTGACGTAAACGGTTCATTAAGATAACAATGCTTTACCACCCGGGCCCTGATATATCGTTAGCATAACAATCGCACTTACAGCCACAGCATCATATCCTAGTGCTGCTATTCATGAAATAACAAACACAGACGAATTATAATAATACGGGGAAAACGCAATACGTCTCGTTCAATGAGACATTAAATGGTAAAAAAATGTCATTTAAACACATCTGATTTTTTGTTGTTGTAAGGGTTTGTTTGTCTTTGTTTCTGATGTAAAGATCCTCAGTTAAGATATTGTGATATAACATAGTCAGTATAGTGAAAGAACAATCCGTTTTCGTTCTATTTATTTTTGAGGTTGAAGACTAGGATAGATACTGGTTTGATTTGATTTGGTTTGATTTTGTTGAACACCCGATAAACAGCTAATGTCAATTAAGGAAGCTGCACCCTCTAGCAGATAGATGTAGAGTTGCTCGTCTGACCCTGCTTCATAACATTGTAAACCAGAAAGTCGCTATCGTAAAATCAGACAGTTTAATCCCTACAGTCAGAAAATCCCGAACAAACCACCAGTTTTCGTATCAAATTCCCCGAACTATACCCGAGTGGAATAAACTCCCACCTGACATTATTTCGAGCCCCACAACGGAATTATTCAAATCAGCCCTCTACCATCACTTTCAAATGCAAATGAGACCATCTCGTATCTTTTAAAAACAATCTCTTTCCATGTTTCACTCCTCGTCTGACATTTTATCTTCAAATTGTTGAAGTTGGTCAGTACCATTTAGAAGTAGAAGTAGAATGAAGTGCCTCCATGTGAGTTGTGTAAGCGTGCATGTGTGTATGTGTGCCGGAGACGGGGTATGTTGGTGTATTTGCCTCCTTGTGATAGCGCGAATCAGACACCGACTTTATAGTGCTATCTCACAGAAATGTCATGCTGAAGGAAAATAAATATACAAAAGTGATTTACAGATACGCCCCTGTGAGGAAGGCGTTGGGTGCTGTCCCCTAGCCGAGACATACCAAAGTCTGTAAAAATGGTAGTTTAACGCTCAGCAATTTAGGAGTGGGACAACTGGTTCGCCCGTTGTCAGTATAATGTGACCGGGTGGGGTGTCCTGCTGGGGGTCTTCGGCAGTATGTTTCAGTGAGGTAGCACTATAAAGTCGGTATCAGTTTCGCGCTATCACAAGGAGACAAACACGAACATATCGCAGCCTCACAAAACACACACGCATACACTATACGCATGCATCTTGCACACAGGGAAGGCCGTCCTTGAATGACTATAGCTGTTGATAGGACGTTAAACATTACTAAACCAAACTAAACCAATATTGACCTAAACAAAGATATTTCCTATTATTATTTTTTCATATTATTCCCGATAACTGATTGGCCAGGAATGCATCCCGTGTCCACCGATAAAAACCGATATTGACTTGGAGCGCGTGATTTTTGTTGAAAGACTGTGTGTTTCTAAAAATAGAATTATGACGCGACTCCAAACAAACGCATCGTCCCGCTTCCGTAGATTTTTGCGGTGTTTTTTTCTTCTTTTCAGATTGCTAACATTACTGTTTTGAAAATAATAAAACAATTGTAGCCTTTGACTTCGGTAGATACCCGGATTTATCGACACAAGAAAAGATATATTAACCTCGGACTGCGTCCTCTGTCAATATATCTTTTCTCGGGTCGATAAATCCAGGTATCGACCTCAGCCAAAGGCTAAAATTGAATATTATTTTTTTTCATATTATTCCCGACAAGAGATTGGACAGGAGTGCATCACGTGTCCACCGATAAAAACCGATATTGACTTGATGCGCGTGATTTTTGTTGAAGGACTGGGTGGTTCTAAAAATAGAATTATGACGCGACTCCATACAAACGCATCGTCCCGCTTCCGTAGATTTTTGCGGTGATTTTTTTCTTTTCAGATTGCTAACATTGCTGTTTTGAAAAAAATAAAACAATTGTAGCCTTTGACTTCGGTAGATACCTGGATTTATCGACACAAAAAAAGATATATTGACCTCGGACTGCGTCCTCTGTTAATATATCTTTTCTCGGGTCGATAAATCCAGGTATCGACCTCAGCCAAAGGCTTAAAATTGAATATTATTATTTTTTCATATTATTCCCGACAAGAGATTGGACAGGAGTGCATCACGTGTCCACCGATAAAAACCGATATTGACATGGAGCGCATGATTTTTTTTGAAAGACTGGGTGTTTCTAAAAATAGAATTATGACGTGTCTCCAAACAAACGCATCGTCCAGCTTCCGTAGATTTTTGCTGTGATTTTTTTTCAGATCGCTAACATTACTCTTTTAAAAATAATAAAACAAGTGTAGCCTTTGACTTAGGTCGATACCTAGATTTATCGACCCGAGAAAAGATATATTGACCTCGGACTGCGTCCTCTGTTAATATATCTTTTATCGGGCTGGTAAATCCAGGTATCGACCTCAGCCAAAGGCTATAATTGAATAATATTTTCGGTATTGATATGTCGGTGTCGTCAGTGCAAACGAGATTCATGGAACAGCCTAACGTCACCAAAATGTTTACTTCTAACTATTGTGTCATATTAAAACGCCGCTGTTACAATTGCGTTTATAGCCCTATGAACGCATTTTCATATGGTTATGCTTATAGAGGAACTAGCAGTGGAAATGTAAATATATAAATATGAATAATGAAGTCAATACGGACTAATGAAGTCCATATGGGCTATTGACTTGAAATCATCTTTTTGATGGGGTGTGGGGATTAAATTGTAAACGAAATATATCCAAAATAGTCTTCAAATCTGCCAAGTTTTCACTGGTAAATGCAAATAAATATAATCATTTTAATATAATTAAAGAAAAAGATTTATTTCAGATTTACATAAAAATATCTTATGACTTATATGATAAGAAGAAAACAAATTCCGACGAGGTTTTCGTAGTTTAAAACCGGGAAATATTTCTTACTTTAATTGGAACAAATCACCCAACACCTCATGGAGTTAAATGCTATAGGGATTGTGAAAATTGATGTGTAATTTTTTAAATATCTAAAAAAGCAATAAAAAGATATTTTAAAAAATAGAACTGAATGCAGTGGACTTAATGAGTGTTCTTTTATTTATTTATTCGTTAATTTATATATTTTTTGTTTGTTTTTTTGCATGCTTGTTGTTTATGTCTTTACTTATTTATCTTTTTGTTTTTATTAGTTTTCAGGGAATGGTGTGATATAACTCGGCAGTATTATGTGTTGACGACGCCAGAACGCTTTAACTGTTTGCTCGTGTGATTTAACGTGGAAAGATGGATAACGACAGGTGGTCATTTGTGGGATTTTTAATCCTTTCTCTCCTCCTAACATACCAATGCCAGAGTGTGTTTAACTGGATTAAAGGTGACAACCACTCCAAAGTTCAAAATCAGATTGATCTAATTGAGAACTCGAACTGTCGGGCTAAGTCAAAGGCAGATCTTACCCTACCAAGGAATACGGTTTCTCAAATTCCGAAATTCAATGAACTTCGCAGTAAGATTTATTACAAAAACAGAACATCTTTAGTTCAAATGCACAATATGGCGCTGAATCGGGCTATGTTTTATAGTTATATTATGCAGAAGTTGAACAGTTCCGAGTCATTTCTCATCCAACCAAACTGGTTACAAATTGGCATGTCGGTTACTGCGGATATGAATGGAAACAAGGATATTTTCAACGGTAGTATGGTAGCGTTTGATAATAACTGCTACTATCCGAATTGGATGACGAATTTAAATTTCAACAACACCCTTCCCCTGTTTGCCGCCAAATCCTGGCGAGCAGACGATACGTTTGACATGGGTGTCTTCTTAAGAGAGCCAACCGGGAGGACGAACGTTGTTAAGGATCTTGGTTCCGGAGCGAATATGAACTATACAAATGAAGCATTTAAGATGAGTCCGTGGTATAAATTCTGGCTTCCGGATTTGAAATCAGACGAAGATTCCACCCTTAAATTCACATATTCCGTAAAAATAAAATATTCCAATGTTACGGGGAAATTCATTCATGACGAATTTGAGACAACCAACTTTTTCGGTCCAAATTCTCCAGGCCAAAGCGACAAGGACGAGAGGCTGCTTCCTGTACGGTTCACTGATCCATATTTTGACTGCGGAAATTCCAACTACTGGGTCTTATCTGCGGCAGCGCCGATTGTAGACTACATGCCGAGATATTCAAATTTCACTCACCTTCGGAGGCCAAGGTAAATAAAAAACAACGTTACATAATAGCAATACATACAAAAATAGAGTTATCTAATTAAGCTTAAAACAATATACTACCTATATAGGTTGTCTGGAAGAAATATACATATGTATCATACTCGCCCTGTCCCACGATATGGTCGTGTTAAGAACATTGGTATGTCTTATTTTAATGTTAATCTACCTCGAGTCAGTTAATTTTCAAATTTTATAAAGACACGAGGTTTACATAATCAACAATCATCCCGAGTTTGGGGACCCTTTTCTCCCACAACATTCAGATATTTTATTTAGAAAACCATTTGTTTCTTTTTGGAATGTAATCATTCCTGTTTCCGATCGGGGACACGATTTGCCATGAACAATGACGTCACAACGGGGGGTGACATCGCAAAGCATTGTTATCTGACATCATAATGAAAAGATTGACCATCTAAATCACGTCCAGGGTGTTCCCACTAGGGATAACCAAAATGTTAACCAACTCCTAGCAGGTTTATCAAATGAGTCGGGAGTCGGGGGTGAGGAACCTAGAGTGGTTTAGGGGGAAAGTAGTTTTGTATTTGCCTGAACCAGCTAGGAACACAACATAAATCAAACGACTTTACAGGTTGTCGTGTTTTATATTATGCGGCAAGATACAGGAAAACAGCCCTTTCCCCCAAACTTCACGAAAATTACTACTGGAAAGTCAGGTTCTGATTTTGACGATAACACTCCATAATTGTCAAATTTGTGTCAATTATTTTCTATGCGCCCGACAGATTTATCTATTTAATAAAGAGAATTTGTGCTTGCACAGACATAAAAAAACACGACTTCCTTACATACCATACATTAAAATATTTCTTTCTGATGTTATCCAATATATATTTATCGCCTGTTAATACCTTTAGGTGTACTTCTCTACTTGACAGCTCTTAGCTATGACCAAAATATTTCTTTCCCGTTACTGTAAACAGCTAGATATCTGGGTGAATATAAAACGCTGTACATCGAAAGTAATTTATAAGATAGACAAAGTAGGACACGAGGGCACCTGTCTGGGTTTTTTTCCCAGTAAAACATGAATAGATACTGTACCAGTTTAACATGACCTAGGTGTACCTTGTGTATGCCTCTATATAGTCACAAACGCTACTCTTTGCAGCTGAGATTGGAATTTCTTAAGTCAGCAATTTTTCTAAAAACATTATATTTTACGAGTTGCACGTTTTAGTGTCATTGTGTTACCTTAGTGCGAGGCAGGCTCGCAACACGCAAGGCTCTAGGTAATACTGGGTATCGTGACCACTGATACAGATAGTGCTTTTGTAGTGGCCAGTACAACAGCTCAACCGTGGATAACGACATGCAGTTAATTCGCCATACTGATAACGTTCGCCTATCGGGATACATGGTTGGAGAATGGTAGGGGGTAGTATTATCCACTGTTATTTTCCGGTCTATTGTCGCCTATATGACTCATACTGCAGCCAAAAGAGCAGACACGACGTTGGTTTAATCAGTATATTTATTCACGAAAATAGGAATATTACAATAAATCTTTGATATTTCGAGATATATTTTGTTGTTAATTTTCGTGAGAGGGTGCCATTGTTAATTAACGTAAATATAAATTCTAGGGAATACTTCATGGTTGGCCGTTTCATAATATACAAATGACAGTCAATCTGATTGGTTAATATTGATTACAGGGCGTTTAACTAAAATATTATGCTTCCCTACCGATCATATTTCTCCTCATTCAGGGCCTCTCTATAAAACAAATGAGTAGGATGCATTATTCCCTAATATCATTGAATGACTGAATAGATCATTATTGCGCGCCAGCCTTATGATTGTATGCTGTCGCTCAATTGTACCTTCCTGACTCATCCTTTTGACCGACGAACAAAGAATCTCTTTCCCTAAAATTGACAAGTATTGTAGACATTCTTGGTCTCTTATGAAAATAACGAGTAAGGTGCATTATCCCTAAGGTTCTTGAAAAGACAGCTTTTGGGTGCCAAACTTATAGTTGTATGCTGTCGCTTTATTCCATCCTCCTGAATCATCCAGACGAACGAACAAAGAATCACATTATCCTTAGATTTATGAGGAGAGTAGAATACTGACATTTTCACGTGTGTTGTGTAGAATATTGGAACATTCTGTAACGTGACTGTTAAATGTGTGCTACTCAATGGGAAATTGATGAAATGTTCTTTTTGTTATGTTTGTTAAGATAAGAAAGGGCATGTATTACTAGGGTAATGTTCTAATGACTGAATGAATTATTAAGAGTAGTTTCGCTGTTTTCTGCTTTTATCCGCTAAGATTAACTAACAAACATGAAAACAATCCCGCAGCTATGTAAATGCCATTGTGTATGTTGGTTGCACAGAGTTTAGTTTGGTTTATTTCGTTTAACGTCCTTTTAACAGCTAAGGTCATTTAAGGACGTGCCTCCATGTGTGCAGTGTATGCGTGCTTGCGGGTGTGTGTGCAGGAGACAGGGTATGTTGGTGAAACGTCCTATCAACAGCTAAGATCAAGGACGTGTCTCCATGTGTTTTGCGTATGCCTGCATGTGTGCCTGAGACAGGGTATGTTGTTGTATTTGCCTTCTTGTGATAGCACGGATATGATGCCGACTTTAAGGTGCTATCTCACTGAAATACCATGCCTAAGGCACCCAGCACAGCATTTTGCTCAGACACATTACACTGACAGCGGTCGAACCAGCTGTTGCCATTCCCCTTAATGATGAACGTTAAGCATAGAATAACAACTACTATGTTTAAGGTCTTTAGTATGTCCCGATCTGGAGACAGAACCCATTGCCTTCCTCACCCGGGCGAAGGAGCAACGTTAAAGCAAAATATGAGGTATTACCAAGCAAATCACTTGGAAATAAAAGGTTGATAGAAATAATGGGAAATATGTATATGGAAGCAGCAGATTAGAGGGCAAAAAAGCAAATCCCCAATTCTGTATGGGGTCCCCTTATAAGTCGCCTCTGACGATACATGCAGTAGGTAACAGCAGTGTATTCTTTTCTCGACGCCCGCCCAGGGGTGGTCTTGGTGTATGAACCAATCAACTGATTCTTTAACCGTCTTTTCAATGGCATCTCATAAGAAAAAAATGTGGCTTTAAGTACCGATTTGATTGGCAAATATAAAATTGATTGGCAGAATTCTCTATCTCACTTCCGAAATGCAGAAAAAATACAGTATCATAAAAACACATCCAGAATGTGTTCTTACAGTGGATATAATGTCTATTTTCTGTCTTTTGAGGTTTCAAATCCTCGCGAAAAAAACACGAAAAATATATCACTGAAAATTATTTAAGTGCTGCAAGACGTTGCAATTTAAATAATAATAATAATAATAATAATAAAAATAGCACATGACCATCAAATACCAATTAACAAGTACAAATCTAAGCCAATATTTCTTAAGTACATTAACAGCCTTCATAACTGATACCAGCTTCTCACTATCAGTCCTTGTCTGCTGCCGTAGTCAGATAATCATCAATATAATAAAAAAAGTAATAACTCCCTGACTACACGCAAGAAGGTGACTATAAATGAGCTTGAGAATTTTAGTAAACATTCAAGTTGCATAAGCCATGCCAAAGGGCAACGCACAAAGTTCATACGGTTCCCCTTTCCATTTGTATCCATGACCCAAGCGTTCTGAACCTCCTGCAGTGACACATCCCTGGTTTTCGTCTGTTCTCCTAAGAAAAATGAAAAAAAGATTGTTTTTGGAGAAAAGAACGTATCCGCATTGATAGGATTGTTTTCAATTTTCTGTCATAGCGGACACGTCAGCCATCACTCTCACTGCCCTAGTTAAACTACTAGCCACTTTATGAGAATTAGGACGTGGGCCAAGCTTATGCTTGTCATACATGTCAACAATCTCGAAGTCGAAATCTAGCCCTAGTAACACTACTAGCCACTTTAGGAAAAACATTCTTCTCCTTCTGTACAAATGGGTGGATTTTTACCAAATTTTGTGTAGAGCATTTCTAGGCAAAAGGGACTCAATTTTATATAAATAGAAGATATTGACCCCTTCGGGCTGAGGGGCATGAGAGGAAAAGGGGAAAGTAAAGTAAATAATTTTGAATTCTTCTCTTGTTGAATAAATTGAGGGATTTGAACCAAATTTAATATAGAACGTCCTTGGGCAAGAGGAATTCACTTTTGAATAAACAGATGATGTGGCTCTCCTCGGGACTGAGGGGCGAGGCAAAAAGGGGGTTATTTTGCCATATTGCTAAAGCGACTTCTTCTCTTGGACAAAGTCATGGATAGCAACTGTATTTGGTTTGGGGCATTCTTTTGTGGTTGAAGATGCAAAATTGTACCAGTTCAAGTGCTGAGGTCTGAGTAGGTGNGCCACGTAAACAATTGCTGAGCATCATGAGATAAACACAATAATGATATGAACAGTTGAGATCCCCAACCTATAACAATATATACCATTGCTTGGCATCAAGAGACCACATTCATGAAATTAATATTAACTCTTGGGTTAACTCTTGGGTCTGACGCCATCCCTTGGGGCTTACTTTGGGCCATATTTTTTGAAATGGTTGAAATCCCCACTCCATTTATAAAGATTTGATAATTGACCCTGGGGTCTGGTTCCACCTCTAGGGAACCTAATTATTGGGGCATAACTTAAAACCGGTTGAGATCTCCACCCCATAACCATATTTACCATTGCTGGGCATCAAGAGGCGAACACATTTATGATTTAGTATTGATTATTGTGGGGCCCTAGGGACTTTATTCTGGGCCATTACTTTGAAATGGTTGAGATCCCGAACCCATATCCATATGCTTACATACTATTGCAAGACATAAAGATCTAGTGAGCGACACACGCCATCTGGGCCTTTTGTTATTGATTTTAACTGACCGTTTTTTTTCGGATTTCCCCTTGGCATTTGTACGTGTGTTGAGAGCCGGCGGCTGCGAGCACGAAGACTCGTCCGTGTGACATTCAGCCTCCACGAGACTGCGTCGGCCCGCGGCCGATTTGGAGACTTCAAACTCCGAAAACGTATCCCTCGATTACGTCAGGGATACAATGTGGTCGTCGGAGGAGTCCCTCATCATACTGTGACCTGCAGAGTATATATATATATATATATTAATAAAAATGTGTAAGTAAAACAAATGTTGGGAGCACAAGCGTAAATATTAAAAAGAGAGTGCGACCGAGCACAGTGGGATACCACAGATAGGTTAAAGGGACATCACGTGAAAAGGCGGTTGTTTTTTTTAATGAATGTATGTTTTGTATGCACTTCCACTTATGTTACCTCGCTATCCCCATATTCATAGTCCGTTCCAAATGTCCAGTTTGACCACTTGAATTGTTTGGGAAAGCCCGGCTGAAAATAGCGCCGATAACGTCACCTGATTAGGCAGCAAACACAAGTGGTGCGAGCGAGATGAAACGGTTTACAAAAGGGCCCTCAGAGAGGGGCCGCCAGGCAACTGCAACTTCTTACCGCACTATGAAACCAAGTTATATGATTTCTAATTCCGTATTCAAACTTATTGAACAGTAATTATTCATCATCAGAAGTTAATTGCACACTTGCCAATATTAAGAATTTAAATTTATTTAGCTTTTAACATAAATTTGTTGCCAATAAAATTAAACAAAGGATGGGGCACAAGTTTTTACAATTTATCACAGCCTTCTCCCGTGACCGGTACAGGTGGTACGGGGCTAAACACTCCCTCAACAATGGGACAAACCTTTCTGTAAAAAGGAATATTCACGAGACGAATATCCCTTTTCAAATGTTTACATAAAGTGCATATATGCAATGACAAACTACACGCGAATATAAAAAGGAAACGTTTGTGAATTTATTTATTACATTAAACAACTCAATGTCTTTGGCCATTTTTTTTCTAGACCATGCATATAAATCTATGTATACTCTCTTTCCCACTTTCACTGTCTCCAAACGCTAACATTTAGGAAGTCATATTAACCATCACACACAATAAACTGTATGGCAAAACCACTACGTGTACATGTAGAATATGTGTCAATAAGGAACGTGTTGAGATACTTGATAATTATATTTTTTCAATACTTTACAGAGATTAAAGCATACTTTTAAATGGACCTTTTTATGCTGAGACAACTTTTCTTTAATCAGTTCCTTTGGTCCGAAACAGAAGCCGTAGTTATCGGCAGCACGCGCCATTTTTATAACGTAATCAAATATTTTTTCCCCTGTTTTCAATACGTATTCCGATTCTATCTGAAGTCGAAAATTTATTCTTTATAGAGAAAAGGTTGTTACATGATCATACATTCTAAGTCAACATCATATGAAAACATGAACTGTTGAAAAATTACGATTTAAAAAAAAAGTGTTATGCGATCCTATTTACTAGAAGTAGGTTCTCCTTCCTCAGTTATTCATCCTGGTCCGTCATTTTGACATTTTTAATCTAGCTGCGATAACGTAGCTTTCTGACGAAGAGCGATTTTTTTTTTATATATTGCGTCGTCGCGCCAGGGCAGGCCGGGTATTATATTAGTACTAATTTAAAACTTGCATGTCAAAACAAAAAACAATCGTTTAATTCAGCAATATAATTAAATCATACCATTTTACTGATCCCGGTAATATTATAAATTATGTAAATCTAATAGCGCACGTATCTCATTTGACCCCGAGCACCGACAGAGGATCAGAGAACAGAATACGCCGTGGCCATCACAGCAGTTATCCCTTGGGGGGCCTCATGGCAAAATCAAACTAACCAGTCACTTATCCCTTTCGTTTGCATAAACCACTGTATAATTATAAAAAACACAAAGTAAACTCTCTCCGATACATGCCCATTAACATATTAAACTAAGTTCATCTGTGTTCAAACTCACACAATGATACTAGCGAGGTTAATAGTTTTAGATATTTATTCATAACATAAACAGCGCTAGCATTTCTGTCGATTTTATTTCAGCTTAACCGGCCGCTATCCGGAAGAAAACATGCACCGTACTGACTGCTAGGGCAGTTATTTTCTGCTTTGAATACTTCCCACTGGCAATAATGATTCCGTAACGTACCCCTTGCGCTATCTTTTGACCATTTGGCAACTATTCGCTTCGTAGCTGACACGGTACAACACTTTTCTTTGGCTTACTTCACACGGCCAGTCATTTTGTTTACAAAGAAATGGTGTGCTATGCGCATGCGCTAGTAGAGGGAAATCCCTGAACAAAACGTTGGTCAGACAGGTAGAAATACCGATGATTATCTTAGATTTAATCATTTTTATGAATCTATTTCAGCCAAATCCGATCGGCATTTTCCATAAGGAGTCTCACTTGATATGTTTATGTAGTATTTGGAAAAAAGACAAAAAAAAAAGTTACTTCAGCGTGATGCCCCTTTAATGATTACTTACCGAAAGCTAGAATTTTCTCAAAATTCTGACGTGCTTTCCACGTCTTCACATCTCGCGTGCTCAAGCACAAAGATGATGGCCACGCCCACGTGCGTTGGCTTAATAGGCCCAATATGCATATAGTTTACTCTATGTTTTGTGTGGATGCGCGTGCATGTCGAGCATAAATGCAATGTTAACCCCCGTAAGATGGAAGGCCTAGTTATTGAGCATGTATTATGAATTATAAATAATAATAAAGTCAGAAGGATATACAATAATTTATTCTGCTTTTAGATAGAGTTATCACGGCGCTAATATACTTATCAAAAATCATAAACACAATTGTGTATATAATTGAATAATCTCATGTTATTGTTTGTTAAAATGATTCTCACACTACCACCTTTTCATTTACCGAGTGTGCAATGCTAAATGGTACAAACGCGTTCTGGTCGCTGTAAGAAGTACTTTGTCGGTATAAAGCCTATATTATATTAAAAAAAATCAGAATGTTCAAAAATACCTTTATTCTATAAGTGCAGTATCGTTTTATTCATGTTCAATGTAAACTAACGTAATCGTGTTTCCATTTTGAGCAATTTCCATTTTGAGCAAAAATAAATGTATTTCAAGGTTACGATCGTTAAAGAAATATTTAAAAGTTCATGCCATACAATGCAACAAAAGGAAAATATTATAATAATCACCAACAAAAAGGCATACAATTTTGACTCTTAATCAAATACAAAATGTTACATTACCTTCAGACTTAATAGTCATGCTGTTTCAGTAATACATATGTATATACATATGTTTGATACATGTGTGTGTATTAAGTTAAAAGTCTGCAGCAGGGTATTAAAAGATCAGATATTTACCACGTGACCGAAACCTTGACCTAGTGCAAAGAGGTAATGAAAAGCCACAGAATGACATAGAATGCCACAGACAGGGTCATGTCAATTGCCAGGTTATTGGAACCCCCAATTTAAAATTCATTACAGTATAGTTAGGTTCAATAACGGCCTTTACAGGCTGGCCATTAAAGGCTGCAAGCGAACGGGCATGGCGAGAAGGTTGTGTTACTTCAAAGGGCCCCAGGCTAATCTGACAAGTTATTATTCTCATTAATCGACCGTGTAAACACTCACTCGTACACAACGGGTCAATAAATACCCAACAATACATACAACGAATCGCGAAGAAAAGCCTCCACTGAGTGAAGTTAACCTTGAGAGGTGAACATTTCAAATAAAGAAACACACAAATATAGACCTTTGTGATCTTACGCCCATATGTTACATCAATTCCAAATTGAAATGTTAAAACGTCTACACCGAACTTTATGATATACGGAGAACTTGGAAGGTTTCCGCTAGATATGAATGTCAAGGTAAGAATGGTCGGATTTTGGGCTAAATTGGCAAAAAACAACCAGAATAAATTAAGTAATAAACTGTAAGCAATTTTATCAAATTATGAATCATCATGGCTAAAATATGTGAAAAGTATTTTTGAAGAATGCAGTCTGATACATATACTTAATAGTCAAGAGTGTCAAAGTATACATGGGCTAAAAAGTACCATATTTTATAAACTAAAAGGAAAATTTATATCAAACTGGAGTAATGAAATGTATACTTCTCCGAAAGGAACCAATTATAGAATATATAAGTACGAACTTTGTTTAGAAAAGTACTTACTAGAACTCCCTCCGAAGCTAGCCAAAGCGTATTGTAAGTTTAGAACCTGTAATACTAAGTTACCAATTGAAAGTGGTAGGTGGTTCAATATACCACGTGCAAATAGATTATGTAGTTTATGTTATTTAAGATAAATTGGCGACGAATTTCATTATCTGTTTACATGTACACATCAACCAATTCTCAATAGTAGGCGAAAACATATGTCCAGGTATTCTTATGAAAGACCAAACACATTTAAATATCATACATTATTCAATTATGTAACACAACATGAATTGACATCATTGGCTAAATTTATTACCAATATTAATGACATAATAATTATTATTTTAGGGGAACCAATTTTGTATAAACCGTGTGTCTGGCCCCTCAGGGGCCTGAGGGGCGGGCCCAATAGGGGAAACATCGCAAATTCTTCAAATACCTTCTTCTTCTGTACGAATGACAGGATTTTGTCCAAATTTGGTATGAAGCATCATTGGGTGAAGGGGAAGCAATTTTGTATAAACGGTGTGTCTAACCCCCCTGGAAGCAGAGAGGCGGGGTCCAATAGGGGAAATAGAGGTAAAACCTTTAAAATCCTTCTTTTACCATAGGACTTGTTCTATTTTCCCATTTTTATTTCTTTATTTTCTTAAAATATTTAGGTTTTTTTTTGTTAGTTTGTTATGTTTACTTTTATTTTTTTACCAGTGTTGTTTTGATAACGGGAGGTTATTCTGAGTATTACTTGGAAAATAAATCTTTAAAAGGCTTGTCCTACGTCGGGTGTGAGACAAGGTCATCGTTTTAGGTTTCATTTGTTTAGACTTGAATTTAGATATTGTTTTATACTTTGTTCAACGAAGGGGATCGCTATACATTTGTTTTCTTTGTAAAACCAGTATCATTTACCGGTATTTATTTTGACGACGTTGGTTCTTAATAGCCACCCGGAATTTATTCAGGTAAATTAATACTTACTCCGGTAAACAAATGCATATTATTCAACA